GCGCAACGTCTTTATTTACATTGATTAACGGAAGTATATTTACTTTGCAGGAGGTGTTCACAATGGAGAATATGTCCCCTGGCTGTACTGCTATGACCCTGTGATGGACGTCTGGGCCCGAAAACAGGACATGAACACAAAGCGAGCAATCCACACTTTGGCTGTAATGAATGATCGACTGTATGCAATTGGAGGAAACCATTTGAAAGGTCACATTTTTAATAGCAGAAAAGCATTTCAGTATCCCCCGTCTCCTGATAGAGAATATTTTTGTTAGACAGTCATTGTTAAATACATTAAAAACCAGGCAACACAATTTAACAGGACACTTGAGCCAGCAATTTTAAAAACATTTTATGCAAATTATTTTAAAATTATAACAGTACATTAAATATATGAGTAATGAATGCTTTAGATAATAAAAATGGGAGCTTCCATTACTCAAAGGCATGGACAATTTGTCATTACCAAGAATCCAATGAAACAAACAGATTATTCTTTGACCCGAAAGTACCAGCAATATTTTCCTCTGTAAATCATTTTCCAAAATGTGCAGTTAGAGAGAGCTTTATTCAGAGCAACACACAAAAACAAGCTCCTGATTTAATGAAGAGAAAAAAAAGCCTCCAGCCATTAAATATTAGGACTAGGCTCTTTAGATCTCTTTTTAGTATTAAATGCAGCTTGTTAATTATAATACTTTTTACAGGTCTCTTGTTTTCATCTTTTGAAAAGGTCTCATATTAAAATAACTACTGCTTAGGCATCTGGTTTTTTTGTCTTAATACCTACATGCCGTTGCTATTACTGCTAAAGAGATTCTGCTTAATCCAGCCACTTAGACAAAAAGCACAGCTCCTGCTCTTTTGTCCCCTGACAATATTTGACAGTTTATATTCCCTTGTTTTTTCTTTCTCCTTTCTTGCTTAAAAAAAAAAAAGCCTCACAACAACAAAAGAGAAAATTGTAATGCCAAAGAAAAAGTGATGTTGACTGCCAGTAACACCAGGCCATGTGCCTGAATGACTTTGACACCCAAGTCCCGGTGAGGCTCTGAAGCCCCATGCTGCTTTTGAAGATCTGAATGCCTGTGGAGCATGTAGGGGACAAAGTCTCAGATGGAAATTTTCCCTGGTAAATAGTACTGGTGCCTAAACCCCTGCAGCCAGGTGCAGGGCTGCTGTGCCTCCACTTCCCACCCCCAGTTGTGATGGATGTTCCTGGACTGGACCTTACAGGGTCCAGCAAATTTTGCAGAGGTTGCAGAGCTCCACAGTGTTGGCTTTTTCTTCTACTAAAGTGAAAGTTAACATGTCACAGCCCTCCTATAGCCAAAGCAGATGCTTTGGTTTGCATAAGCTTGAATTGTTTCCATCCAGTCTTCTCCTTCTTTCTTCACCCAGTTTCAGCTACCATCCTCTGGGAAAGAAAAAACTTCTAATAAACATTGCATTTTTGCCTCTACAACTGTTGCCCTAGGTGCCTTTGTTATGTATGAATCACTCACTGTTGTGAGAGGTATTTAAACGTCCAGACTTCTGGAAAGCTGCCTGCTGTCTGGAAGAAGGGCTTTTTGGAAAACTGGTTTCTTCTGTACAGTGAAACAAAAGGAGGAACTGCAAGGAAAGGGAGGAGGGAGGGGACTGAAGTGCAGATGAAATGCTACAAATTCTCCAACCGGGTGGGAATAGCAGGGCTCCATGGCAAAGCCCTCCTTTGTGAAGCTGAGTCTGTAAACTAGTGTCAGCAGTGCCTTTACCGCATCACAGCTAGCCATGTGCATACTGCAGTTTATTATGGAGCTTTTGACAGATTCTGGGCGCACTGCGGTGGCCTTTCTATGGCCCCTTGAAAACTTTACAGCGACGAAAAATTATTTCATCACAGCTATTCATTCCTGACATAAATAATACTCATACAAGCAGCATCGTTGTGAAGTACCAATATCACCAATTGCTCTTTTCCAGAAAACCTAACTTCTCTTTTCAATGGTACCTTGATGGAGAAGACAGTAGTGTCAAGTAAAGCATCCCAGCATATTAAGAAAGCCATAATTTTACTGCGGCGCTCTGATAAAGAAAGTAGTTTGAGACAGGGAAATGTCTAAATATTGGAGCAGGAACCAGGACTCCTGGGTTCTATGTCCGTGTTCAGCTCATTAATTGATACTAAACATCACAGCTTGAGAGTCTTGAGCTGAGACCCATCTGCCTGTTGGTGATGACAAAGCAGCAGCCGCATGGAGCCTTTTTCGGTCTGTCAGGGAAGGATGGGACCACCAGTTTTTTTTGGTTACATTTTCTGTCGCCTTAAAGACTTTGTCACATCACAGCTGCTTACTTAGGGTACACCTTAAATCAGCTTGAAAATTGAAACTGGTCCTGAACATCACGTCCGTCGTGCTAAGCACCCTGTCCTTCTGGAAGGAAGTGGCATCAGTTGTCTAAGCTCTACCTTGACTCGTTAGACATTGATTTCTGAGCAAGATTTATCTGTTGACTTTTGAATAGATTAGATCTGCTGACCTTTGAGAAAGACTGCCAGGACAGGCTTTTCCTACATGTTCAAACTCACATTAGCACTGGTAGATGAGGAGGAATATTGCTTGAATCTGCTTTCATCATTGATAGGTTATTACTGAGTGTTACTTTCTGGTCTGTTCAGGTTTTATATGTACTTGTGATTTGTAGAAGACTGTAGAACTAATGGTAGAAGCTTTCAACAGATTTACTTGAACTGCAATAACGATACATTAACATTACAGAAAATGGCTTAAATATATATGGCAATATTTTCTAGAAGAAAGTTTAACAATGATGTTGTAATTGTAATAATATAATTGTAACCATAATTTAATAAATTTAACAGTAAAACAAATAATAAAACAGTATGTCATAACGCACATTCTCTTTTCTCAATGCCCTCATCCAGGTTTCTCCCATCTCGATGTAATGCTTGTGGAATGCTACGATCCAAAAGGCGACCAGTGGAATATCCTCCAGACTCCTATTCTGGAGGGTCGCAGTGGCCCTGGCTGCGCAGTCCTTGACGACAGTATTTACCTTGTAGGAGGCTACAGCTGGAGTATGGTGTGTACCTGCTTTCTGCAATGACCCTTCCATTCCTTCTGAGCTCTTGAGGCCAGTCTGTATATTATTCAGATGGGATGGAGAGGGGAGGAGGGATGAAGTAGCTGCAGGGGCTGGTTTTGGTTTGGTTTTCGACTTCTGGAGAACATGGAGTATTTGTTCACCTTTGTGCTTTTTTTTATTTACATGGGTTATTTTCAGACTGTATTCACTGATATGGAGTAATATAAAAATCAGATGAAATTTGGCAAAAGTGATTGACAGGACTGTATGCTTATAGTTCTGCTATCAGGAGCCTGATTTGCAGAGGCTGGGTGCTCAGCCTATATGAAAACCAAACCTCTTGAAGGGCTCCTAAATTAGAGCTCAAAACCATGAATCACTTTCGAACATCTTTAAAGCTAATGTGTGACTTGGATTTTACCAAAGCCACATTTAATATGACTTTTTTTTCTATTACAGGGAGCCTACAAATCTTCTACTATTTGCTATAGTCCTGAGAAAGGGACTTGGACAGAACTAGAAGGAGATGTTGCTGAGCCACTTGCAGGACCTGCTTGTTCAACTGTCATATTGCCAGCCTGTGTACCGTACAACAAATGATAGTCAAGGAGCACTGACACGAACACTGATTGCATTTGGGAAAATAATGACGGGTGACGTAAATATTTTATTAGAACAGGATTCCTGTTAAAACAAAGCTACCATAATTGACCCCTTATTCCATATTTATGCTTTAGGAGCAAACTAAAAGAAAACAAAAACCAAGTGTTGTCCCAGCTCAGATAGATGCCGGTGTCTTATGAAGCAAGTAGCTAAAACACACCGAACATTACATGCTGACAGACTGCCATTTCAGACTGATTTTAACTTTTTCCTGCTGCAGAGATATTCCTCACGTCAAATTTAACTTTAAAAAAAATGAAGGCTAAATGTTCAAATACAGCCTGAAGAGACAAGATCAGTATTGTGCATTGTATCTACCTGCATGTGATCTGTGTTGAAGTCATGAGGATGTTGTTTTCATGAATGCTTCAGAATTCAGATAGTGAAAAGCTCACACTGCATTGCAGAATTGTCTCCTCCTCTGTAATCCTAACCTACAGCTACTTCACATGCTCTGCAAGCAACACAGCATCAGAAGATTATAAAAGGTAAAGAAATATCATTCAGTTTTTGCATAGCTTGGCAACTAATACACTCTGCCTTCCAAGTCCCCACGTGTAAGTGCAGCGGAAAGCAGACTACAATGAAAGCCATGCTTTACAGAGCACTTCTTGCAATAGCAGCTTAGGGATTAGGATCAAATTCTTCTAATCACACTTGTGTAAAGTCAGAGTCATTTCACTGAAATCACATGGAATGACTGTTTTTACATTAGTATAACAGAAATTTGGTCCTACATCTTAAATTCTGGGTTTGTAAAGTAAGTTATTTCTATGACCACTTAACGAAACACCAGAATCCTTACTTACTTTTCACTAACCTGTTAGATAGGAGCATCCATGCTAGTTGCTTCCAAAGACAAGAAGACTGCATTTAACTGTAAGTGTATTACTTTGGACTTCTAAATGATTGTGCACAATTTTGGAGAGACACTGGTAAGTAGTTAACGTACTCCTGTGTGGTTGATCTTAAAATGTAGTCTGAAAGATTTTTATTATTGATCCAAAGTAATATGAGGCCAGACTTTCCACAGCCTTACAGCTTATGTAATTATTTACACATCGCAAAGTGAGTTCAGAATGCTACCACATGGGACCAGTAGCATTTAGGACTCGCTTCATGAACCCATAGTTGCTTGCACAAATCAGGCTGTCCATGTTTTAAGCTTATGTCCTTCTGTCCTGGCTTTGCAAAAGCAGTGACAAAATCTGAGGCCGATTCTTCACCACTTTGCAGTTAACATAATCATCTGCACCTCAGCAAAGTATATGCATTGTTCTTCCATTGTGGTTTACTGGTGCTGCATCCATTACCCTCAGGATCATCCTCTTCGCTGGTATAAACTGACATTGCTCTATTGAAGCCAATGGCTGTACTTCGGTTTATGTCAGCTAATAATCTGGCCTTTAATTTGCCTAGTTGTAACTGGCTGCACCAGATAAAAGGCAAAGGAGATTAAGATCCTGTGTTTTCAAGCCTGCGCACATCTTTCATGATAGGACTTAATGCTAGTGCGTTAAGCAAGGAGCAGGCAACTACTGGAGGTTGGTTTCTGCTGCAGAGGCAATAGATGGGAGGAAGAATTCATTATTTGCTTTGCAAAATAGAAAGAGGGCGATGTACACAGAAATTACACTATATATTGAAGCTTGAGAGCAACATAAATAATGGAGAACAAATACCATGGGACTCTTTCTCTCTGGCATCAGTCCAGTTTTATTGCAGTGCAACTCCCTTGCTTGCAGCAAAATTACACAGTTGTAAAATTGGAGTAATGCAGTAAAGACTGATACCATACAAATGCAATAACCCAATTGATGAGGCAGCTGCACGCCTGGAAAAAAATTGTTTAAACAAAATAATTATCTGAAGATGCTAATATTTGAATGTGCCGTTGGGGAGTTTTCCAGTGAGCATCACTAAGGAACTCATAAAGGTGAAGTGTATATCCTAAAATCTCAATCCATTTCTACTATATAGTGCAATCTTAGTTGGTTTTCTATTTATTTATATTGTTCAGATCCAGGGGATCCCTTGTAAAATATATTTGGTGCAATCATGACTTTTTTTTTTCCTTTCCTGTTGAAAGTATATAAATATAAATATATATAAAAAGGAAACTGTTAAGATACTAAATGAGGAAATCTTGAATGACATTTAAGATCAGGATAAGGTCTGCCATTAAACACTGACTGTCACCTGTCTCTTCTAAAACGTACCATTTTTAAAGGATATTTGTTGTCCTTTTAAGTGGTTCTTTTTTTTACCAAGATAATTTAAAGATTTATGAGGACTGTATGTAAATCTTTCTATCTTTCAGGAAGGCATGACCAAGCAAAGTGCTAACTGAATAAGTCACACAAAGAATGTAAATTTTGTACAGTACTAGACTGTGTAAATGAGGCTTGCTTGTAGGGGGGAAACTTTAAATAAAACTTTATGTACTAATTCAACTGTCTGCCATATTCCTACTTATAAAGTGTATGTATAAATAATATCTACATTAAATTCTTTGGAACTTTTTTTATCATGTAGATGTGTAAACTTCTTTTATTTTGTGGCCCTACATAACAGCCTCATTGTTCTCCAAGTGTCATTACTCAGTGCTTGTAAACGCAGCGACGCCGTAAAATGTAGTGACTCGGAGTCTTCTCCTGAGCGCAGGTGCCTGGCCTGCGCTTCCAGCAGGGAAAGCCCCACCGGCGTGCCCACGGGCAGGGTCTGACCTCAGAAGCCTACCGATGTGATCAGGTGCCTGTGAAATGCCTCTGCCTCGGGCTGCTCGGCCCGTTCCTCTCTCCCATGGTGAGATAAGTGAAAAGTGATAAGTGAAAAGGATGCTGCCCGGTTAAATGCAGTCTTGCTTTGGGGAATTTAATGCTAGTCATGGCCATTTCTTTCCTCTTCAAAATGTCCCTCCTGTGATTAACCCTACTAACTGGGTATTTCCGTTTGTGGAGGGAAGTGCTGGCACGGGTGAGCAGTAGAGGAGTTGGGACAAGAGGTACTGCCAGACTGAGAAGACAAGGTAAAGGCAGGGGTTTTACTAGGAAACAGAATCATTACCAATACCGATACCAATACTACATGTATTATTTATCAATGCCTACCAACCTTTGCCATGGAACAGAACCTTTGTATGCAAACCAAGTGGGTGCACTGAGCAAATAAAAGGCAGTCACTGACCCCCGTGCTTACAGCAGGTGTGAGCTGTGCTGGGGGGTGGCTGGGAGCCCAACGAAAGAGTCTGGTCTAATGAGAGGGGATCAGTCCTGTTCAAGTCTTTTACGAGGAAGGGAGAGGCGAGCCAGCAGCAACTACGGTAAGATAGCCCAATGAATAGGGCTGTTTTATTAATTACTTTATTTCAGAATAGGAAGGAAGAGAGATTTATGCATTTTTTTTAAAGTAATGCAGGAGAAGAAGGAAGAGGAGAAGCTGGAACCAGCGGGCAGAGATACGATTTAGAAAGGAAGGGAATGACACGAGAAGGAAGAGGTAAGAGTGAAAGTGAAAAATAGAAAACAAGAGCCTGTGAGAGGAGAAAGTGGCAAGTTCTTGTGGATCAAGGGCACAGAGAAAGTAAGGGCTGGGATAACGAGGAAGGCAAAGATGGTTTCTGAGAAGCACACATCAGAGCAAGCCTGGAAAGAAATGACAGCACAGGCGACACAAAGAGCAGAAGAGAAACATGAGAAAATGCAATAAAAGAGGACATGAAATAAACATGAAACTAAATAAGCACTTGGTGATGGTACTGCACCTGTTTTCTTCAGCTAATCATTTGCAGTGGTCTAGCTGTTAAGGCAGAAGGATCAAATCAGCAGAGTGCTTAGGTGTTGCAGTGTTCAAGCTTTCAATGCACGGACTTCAGCACAACAAAAATCATGAGATAGGTGCCCAGTCTGCAGTGCCTGCTCTGTGGCAAGCACCCAACTACAGTCAGCACCTGTGGCAAGGGAGGAGAGCTGCTGCTGCTGGTGAGAAAAGCAGATGTGTGGCAAGTCCTGGTCCCCGATGGGCTGGAGGGAAGCGTCTTCTCCATTTCTGATTCACAGATGAGAAGTCATCTTTGGGAGCTGGACACCTGGACTGTTCCTCCATTCTTCTTCTCTGCTGTCCTTCCTGCCAGACATTAATCTTCTCCTCCTCCTCCTCAGCATGACAAAATTGCCTAAGTACTTTTGTGGAGCTGGGCCTGGAAAACAACAGACCAGTGCATGGAGCTGTTTCCCTGGCCCTGAGCTGTGGTCCCATCCACTGCCCGAGAAACGTGAGAAGGCTGCTGACTTGCAACCCCTAGGCATGCCCTTAAGGAGGACAAAGAAGGCATTTCAGAAAGATGCTTTTCATTGATTATAGCATTGTATTCAAAGGTACTGTGCACCCACCTCCCAAAAGCTGGCATTGCTTTCCTTCACGTGTTTGTCCCCCTTCCTGTTTTTAATACAATGATTTACTGTGCTAGCTGCATCTGTGAGCCAATTTCTGAGAAAAATCCATGCCAAACCTCATTATATATACACCGGTTTGTATTGTATTATAATCACTCACCAGTATAGTACTCTAGTTCTCTTGCTTTTAAGGGACAGACCATATTTCAGCTTGCAATTTAAATGGAGCTTTCCGGGTACAGACAAAGGAAACAGAAGTCCCGAAGAGTGCTAAAGAGGACAAAACAGTAATTGCCAACATACACAGCCCTGAGCAGTTTTAAGATACACGTTCTCATTTCTGTTGTTAGTGCAGCAGCGAAAAAGAGTCAGTGTTTCAGCCGCTCAGGTCCAGACCAAGGAAGCAGCGACGGCAGCACTGGAGGTCAGAGTGGTTAGTGGGAAGGGAAAGTACACTAATGAATTCTGGAGGGCTTGTAATGCCATAAAAGATTCAGTTAATCTGCAGCATAGATGTTGATCAGCGAAACTGAACCTAACTCTGTGGACCTTGTCAGATGTATTCTGTGCATGTCAGTGTTCCACACCAATTACAGATTTTAGAAGATGCTCTCATGCAAAACTATGTGCCCTAATATATAAGCCAGCTCAGATGTAACTAAAATTAAAATCTGACTGTGGCAAATCTCTGTGATCCTGATATATGAAAATCCAAATATGTGATTTGTTCCCAGAAATGAAAAATAACTTCAATGCAGGATTAATCCAGTTCAATGAATGCATCTTGCGTTGATTAATAAAGCATTCCTGAATTGCAAAGTAAAACGAGAGGAGACTTCTGGTGCTAATATATTTGTGTATTTCTGAAGCTAAAGAGAAATGCGCGCTTGCAAGAGATGTGGTCAACCAGTGTAAACAGAGATTGAATACAAATAGTGATTTTCTGATTGTCTGTTTTCTCCCTGCAGCAGAAAACTACCTTTGTGACATTGATCCTTTCCTGAAGAACACAGGTACTGTTACCTGCCACAATATTCAATGAGAACAGGGCATCTAACACGATTGTGTAATGACTCCAGTTAGCATCCAGATGACATCTGCAGCCTTATCTAGCAAAGAAAAGCAAAACTTGAGCTACTTTCTGCTGATTTTCTTGCCACACAGAGTAGAAAGTTTGGTAAAGTAGCATTAGCTTTTGTGATCTGCTGCCCTTGAATTTAATTGTCCTTAGAGATGAACAGATACAGGGAACCTATTTAGAAAGCAAAAACAAGAGAAGGAGATTTAAACAAATGCAGCATTTTCCCAAATTTTTCTTTTCCTTCAGCATCCACACACACAAAAAAAGATCAGTTGAATTTCTTTAAAGTGGTCTCATCACTTAATCTAAAAACCTGTTCATCAGTTTGGAGAACTACCTTCAATCACTGCAGTGTTTTCAGAAGGAATATTTACTAATGGTTGAGGTAAGTTGCCCTTTGCAAAATACCTTTAAAATCCTTACGGTTTTCTCTTTAACAAATGGTTCCTTGTATCACCCTTAAACATCTTCCAAAAAAACCACACTGGAAGAATCATATTTGTAAAGTTTGCTTTGTATCTCAGTACCTTGTGTGATACTCAGTTCCTGATTCTTTGCAAACTTGTTTCCATTTTTGTTTGCATTTGTGCAAAACAATTCAGTTTTGGAGAAACTGGCTGATCAAGAATATTCTGTATGAATGGAGAAAGTGAACTTTAAACATACTTCACTGTGAATAGTGAACACCCAAACTGATGATCCATTGCATAAACAGTAACAAAAAAATTGTTGCTTTCTGTGTATTTAGCGATTTTGAGAAAGGTGTATAAATATACACGTACACACTTGCACCCAAAAAATGTCAAGTTCATAGGCCATGGTAAGGACTGCTCTGCTGTTGTGTTTGCTAAAGCTGTAAACTCGGTAACAGCACTGCAGCTTATATCTTTTTCTTTAAAAACCACCTCTTTAACTGCAAAGATACCATTAGTCACAGCAGGGAGTATAACCAGAAGGAGGATGTCTGTAACCATAGCAAGAGAGCACATTAAACTGTAGGTCAAAATCATGACTGACTGATTACCTTCAGGGTGAAAGTAAATCTTCAGACTTGCTGGAATGACAGGCAGCAGGACTGGCTGGGGCTTGCCGAGGTCATCCCCTGCCTCCCCCATGCCATGGTGGGGACGGCGATGCCCAGCGCACTCCCAGCAGACGTTTGCTGACTCGCCTAACCTTCGTAGCGATGTGTGACGGGATGTAGTCATCGTCATCATTAGAAAATGTTTCCTAATGTCTAGCTTAAATGTCTCATTAGTTTAAAGAGATGGTTCCAGGAAGAACCTAAAAGAGAAAACAAGTATTTTCCAAAAATTTAAGTCCACAATTAAATCATCTAAAACTTTCACAAATGACAGAACCTTCAAAGCTGCTTTTCCTTCTCCTGCTCTCAGTCGATAAGGAGAACTGTTTATTCCCACTCTTTTTGCAGCAGCTTTTTTTTGCAAACCCAAAGACCACCCGTCCACTTTTCTCTAGGCCTGTGACTCAGTCTCTCCTCCCTGACTATGGATTTTACATCTACCAGCAGTCTGATTTCTCCCTTTTTAGCTGATCTCCAGCTGGCCCACATCTTCAGCTGCGCATTGACCAGTGCAGAGAAGACCAGAGGATTTCTGTCTAACTTGCAGTAATGCAGTCCAGGGTTGCAATGGACTGAAGCTTTGCAGTGAGGTCTTTCCTTCATTAGTAAGCCTCCCTGTAACTTGCCCAGGTCGGAGCTGATCAGACTGGTATTTTGGCACTATTCAAGATGAAACATCCTCTTCTTAACAGCGCTTCCACTGAAGATGAGGATGAAAACCACAATCTGGCTGTGCAGGATTCAGGTACAAAGTCCAATCCAATAAGCTTTAGTGAATGGAGTTTACATATAGGACTGCATAAAGATTAATTAACCTACTGTAGGAAAGTGTGGCACTTTTATCAGTGGCTGGGCACTCAGAAAAAAAATACTCGTGTCTTTTAAGCTCTTTTACTTCTTTTAGTGGAATAAAATGAAAGACATTTGTGAAGAATTATGTCTGGCACACCGCCACCTCTTGTGAATTATTCT